GTTTTATATTTAACTACCGTAATTCAACAAAAGACGAGTCTGAATATTTATCAGATTTTAAAAAATAAGCTAACAATGAAACATATTCTTAAATAAAATTGCGTTTCCAACTCTTATTAATTATTTTAGAACAACCAAAACAAAATTATAAAGATTATTCGTCAATCAATAGCACCCAACTTCGTACCTTTATAGAATAGTATGTTAAAGATATACTATGCTCATCTTTGAGAAAAATATTTTAATCATAGAAATTTATTGAAATCTATTAAAGTCTTTTCTTTAAAAAAACTGCCAGTTTTTGTAATGGCACTGCATATTCATTCATCTTGTGACCACCGGTAGTGTATTGAATTTAAAACGTAACATTTCTACTTTGTGTGAAGTCAAAACATCAATATATTTAAATATCAAATTTGAGCATAGTATATCTTTAAAGTAATACTCTTAACCTTGACGAGATGGTTAACTATGCTTAATATTCTATATAAAAAGATTAACATAGACTTACATTCCTTTATTGAATATCTTTTACAAACTTTGTGAAGTGAACAAAGATAACGGATTAATTAGGATAATGATAATCAAATTGGTTCCTCCTCCTCGTCGATGTTTTGTCCTGTCTGTTTTGTATACTTTCGGGCGCCGTTGCCCCAGGATAATATAAGGACTGCGCGTAAATACTGCTCTCCCTTTTAAATCTATTGTCCCGTATGCTGATTTTTATCTCTAATGCATTTAATGATATTCCGTAAAAAAAACAAGTTCATAAAAAACATTAAAATATTTAAGCTTGTAACAAGAGTTGTCTAATCTCTGTTCATGTCTTGGAATCATAAAGTTATAAATAATCTAAAAAGAAAACAAAGTCAAAACACTTTATTAAGTGAATAACAAACTCATTTTCATCTACTCTACTCCTAAAATAGAGGAAAATATGATAAACAAGATCAACAAGGAAAGCACTGATTCCAAAAACAGAGTTTTATCGGTATAACTTGAACAAACATAAAGCTTTAAATTGCTTTATGTTTTTCTGTATAATCCATTTTCTGACAATCAGACAAAACAACTGATATTGACAAATTGATGAGTTTCATTCATCACTTTTGACATAGATATGATGAAGCGTCTCTTTAATGTCAGCTAAATATATATATATTGAAACAATTATTGTCTTCTTTTTGTAGTAGAATAGCTATTTTAAACATGACTACATCTAGATAACTCGCTTATTTCCTTACATAAAAAGAAGACATATTAAGCCTGCATATTCTAAAGAGGCCAGAACTGAAAATACGTACAATATCCAATTAACTAATATGAATGAAAGATTTTAGTTTCGTATGACATTCATACAGATGAAATAAAACGAGCTAAGTTTGATGCGAGAGAAACTGAAAACAATGAGTGAAATGTTCACAATTTTGTTTTAGAGTCATACTAACGTAGTTGCCTTTTCGTTTCTTATTATGTAAGTGTAGTGTGTCTGAACTTTATATTGAATGAGGGAGGGTGTGAAAATGAAACCAAGAAAGTACCTTTTACATAGCTTTTACTTGAACTATTTAACATGGGTTCATGAATAAGATGATGCTTAAATAGAAATGTAGGGATATATGTATCTATTTAATAATTTTCGCTCTTACTTGAGGACAAATGCTTCTGCTAATTTCTCAAGGCGCTTTCGTCTTAAACTTTATCAGACTCCTCTATAGCGTTGCTGCTTTAAAACAAAAAAATGCCTCGCAGACATGACATTTTAGATAAATAATAATCGTTTTCTCCAATTATTTTTCTTTTATCCAATGATTTATCAAGCAATTGTTTTTCTGATAATACTTGTAATAAAAGGAAAATCATCAAATGCTAAAAAGTGTTAAACCAATTAATTTTCTTTAACTATGAGATAACGAGACTAGGTTGCCAAGTAAAATTTACAAACGAGTATTTTGGTTGTTGTGGAAATATTGAATGGATATAATTTATAATTACAATCATTGTAAATAATTTTTGATAATATGTCAAAATGATTTAGACATTGAGGAAATAAAAACAAAATAATTATTAGATCAACAAACAGAAAAGCAAAGGGCTAGAAATGAAAACTGATTCCATCAAAGGCAGTCTGCTCTCTCATATTTTTCGTAACGATTCACCAATCAATCTCAGTTTGCAGCATCTAATAGAATAATGTATAAATCGACATGTTATTAAATTATGGTTCACACTTTTTAAAAACAAGTATTTCATGTCTTTCCTGTGACTTTCATATTCTTAGGAATAAAGTAAGAAATCATAGCGAACAAAAAAGTATACAAATAATGATATATTATATCACTATTGTATATCCAAAACTGTAAGTAAGGCTGGAATGTATTGTGATAGATAAAAAATAGATTTTCTTACTCGTTTCATTTCATCTAATTAAATAATGCAACAGTAAATATATCAGAAATCTTAAAGTGACTGTACGCTCATTTTTTCTCATTCAAGTTGAGATGAAGTCGTAACATATTTGATTAACATAACTTTTATAATGGTGATTGACCAGTTATTTATGATAATAGAAAAATGTTCCCAGTACAATATAAGAAGGACCTAATTTATAAAAACACTGCTCCACTCTTTTAAAGAATTGAAAGTTATCGATACATTATGATTGATATTTCTAGAATTTCAATTGGTCACTGGATTTTATTTTCATAGTAAGATATAAAATGGAACAAAATTATAAAATATGGTAAACAAGATCAACAAGGAAAGGTGGCGTTCAATTGACCCAGCAACAAGGACAAGTGACAAGGAGCTTGGAGGACCCCAAACAAATACATTTTTAAGTTGTTTTGACTCTAACCTTACTTGGATGATTTAAAAATGCCACTTTAATTATAGTGTTTTATGAATGTTTTATTCTGTATGATAAAACGATAACTTGCTCTAGCTAGTAAACTAGACAAAAATAACGCATTATTCTTATAAGTGTAAGTAACTTATTGATGCTTTTCCTATATACAGTATATTAGAACATTATCATTTTTCAATGTCAAGATTGGGCAGTAAATCTCCTTGTCGATTGAAATTTGTCCTAGAACGAAGAGCATTAAGCATATTTTACCCTGAGTTGAACTCTTAAGTAAACAGTTATCAATAGTTATTTATTATAAAATTATTGAATTATTTGTTAAAGTATACTTGAATATTGACCTTTAATCCAAGGAATAACTTTATGAGGAATATATACAATTACGTTTTTTTGTTTATTTTTTTCTCTTGTTTTGATTGATTCCTTTAAGTCAAATGTAAAGATTGTCGTCATCAAATAATCGGCCTATTCGCTAAGATTAATTAAAAATATACTAGTAATTTTGTGATTCAGAACAATTTAAAACATATTACGCCCTAGCATTGAAATTCATTTATATTTTTGTAATATAGTCAAATAAATGAAAACATGTATATAGGCGGGAAAAACAACAAGGACGTTACATAAATAGGCCACCATATTTGATTAGTTTTTTGAGTATCGTTTGATTATTTTCTAATCAATGTTCCCAATATTGTTTTGTATGATGGCAGATAACCATTTAAAATGAAAGTTATAGAAATTCAGGAAAAGGAAGATTTCTCGAGGGAAGTGATAACAGAAACAAACGTTTGAAAATATATTACAATAAAAACAACCACCTGACAAAATAGTTAATACATGGACGATATAGAAACATATAAAACTTGCATCTAGTGTCTTGTAGCGAGCTGTGTAGATTTTAAAGGAAAATAGTGAAATTAGAATTTGAAATTGAATTAGTATTTAGAAACGTCTTAAGGTGATGGTCATGAAAACCTCAGTTTGTCACCTAAATGCTATTCCTACAAAAGCGGTGTTTGGCCGCGAATTAATATGTCGTAATGACGAATTAATGCTTCGTAAAAACGAGTTAATATTTCGTAAAAACGAATTATTATTTCGTAAAAACGAATTAATATTTCGTAAAAACAAATTATTATTACGTAAAAACGAATTAATATTTCGTAATTACGAATTAATATTTCGTAAAAACAAATTAAATGCAGGGCCAAAAGTGTTGAAAATGTCAACTTAGGGGCTCTGTATTTTGACAGCTTTTGTGTACATACAGGCTTCATAACCACTGATCCCATTTCAAAGTACATTTTATTAGGTGTTTTTTCTTTCTTTCTTTCTTTAAGAATTATGTTTTAGCCGATGCAAAGAGGTGTGGGTGGAAGCTTACAATTACCACTACTGTCCAAGAGAATGTATCTAATAAACATGTACAACTTTAATATTGTTATCCCCGATATATATTAAACGCATTACATATAAATACAGGGCCGCCCGACAAATCCTAGCGATTAGTTTTCTAATACATGTAAGAGAAAATCTTCTTTACGTGCGTCAAACTGTAACTTAAACATGGCAGATTCTGAAAGGAATACTAATTAACACCTTATCCGACTTATCGCTTGTATTAACTGTAATATTGGATACATGACACACATTACTATTTCTTGACGAAATTAGCAACACCAACATCAACAAAAGATTAACAAATGAAGACAAATATAGTAATGTAAGAAATATCAAAGGTTTGTGCACTTTAAATAAATAAAAAATAAAATTCATAAAAATCATTATGCAAAAAAGCAAATTTTAAATGAAATAACATAAATAACGTACAAAATTTAAAGTTGGAAGCATCTGCTCATAACATTACACCATGTCATAAAATGGCATTTGCAAAAGAGATTGACGATAAAAAACATTCAAAAGCAAATAATATAATTTAATATTTTTATCCAAACTTTTAATGCAACCTACATTTATTAGAAGTAAAATTAAAAACTCGATAATAAGAACATAATGTTTTCTATATAGGAATGAAAGCGGCAACAGAACAACTTAATATTATTGGATTTTCACGAATACTGCATGGAAACAGTATCATTTGTATCTTCACGTTTAGCCTATTAGTTTACTTTCGTGTTTTCCTATTCAGTAGACAGTATGAAGTCAATGAATGGACTTCTTAAAGCTAACTTGATCAAGACCGACAGATCATTGTTTTATATTAGTTTTTAGTCTAAAACGGAGTATTGGTTGTTGTTGAGATTGTGTAACAATTGCGCATGTTTGACATTTTATATGATAAAACAATTTAACTACTCGCAAAATATTTTTTGGGTTAAATGTGAAAACATTAAAATTCAAAATATATTGACATAGTACAAAAACTGATACGTTGTTGATTACATAACTGGATTAAAGACATAAAGTCGTTAAGAAAGCCTAAACAACTTCTAAAAATTTGACAAATGAGAGATACAATGTAAGTATAAACATATCATATTTCTGTCTAAGTTACACGGACAACAGACTCTATATTAACTCTTGATAAAATGTTTGGATGTAAAGTAAGTGATGTCTTTAAAATATTGATATGAGGTATAAAGTCATCTTACTCGTTAGAACGAACATTATATTTGATAAGTGTTTATATCTATTATTTTCCTATTCTATTTAATTAACATAGCTTATTGAATATGGAACCAATTTGGTTGTTTATTGATATAAGCAAAACTGTAAACACAATGTAGAAATACAGTTGCCGTTGCACATCAAACATCATTTCACGTGACATTTAATTAACTTGTTGACGGCTAAATATAGTTAGACATTTAATCTTTAGAGGAGTGACTAATAAAGAGTTAAAGACACTGTTAATGTATACAAAATAGAAATTGATCAACTATGTTTTATAATATTATAATAATATTTATAATATGGCATCATTGTTATCAAGATCGTGTCAAACTAATACAAATAAGAAAGAATTTGAATATTCACTGGAAGTATTTGAAACGTGCAAAAATGTTATAAAGTCATCCGTTCAAGTTATCTTATTTTTATCTGCTGATATTGAATACTTATTGGCTGTTTGTTTACAAGGTAAGCACCAGTAAAATGTATCTCCACATTTTGTAAACATAACAGCATTGTTAAATTTATCACTTTTACCTTTTAAAAGGTATATTTTAAAGAAAAATAGTATAGTTTTTAAGCTTGTGCTTATATAATATACGAGTATAAGTATAAAATATTAAAAAACTGTCAATCAAAATTATTGTTTTTAATGGCACAGCAATTGCCAAACAATTTGTCAGGGATTTGTTCTAGATTCTGAAGTAAACTTTGAATAATAAATAAGAGGCATTTTTAACACTTGTTTTTATTCAACAAGCATTTTATGGGGAAAAAAATTGTGGAACCTTCGAAGCACTATTTATTCCTTATTCGTGTGACTGCTTACGGTGTATCATCCGTTATTGGAGAAATAAAAATAATATATTTTGTTATTCCGTGATGCTACTATCAGTTTACCGTTTTGTTACAGAACGCAGACTTCGTGAAGCCAAACAACTTAGAAGTTAACCTGATAAGATGCCGACAAACAAGCGTAATCAGACGTTATGGACATTTAATCTTACTTTCATTGACATAAGGATTTTATCAATACTTTTGTCCACGTAAAAAGTCATTATATTGTAGATGGAATAACAAGCTGGTTGACTGTGTAATATAAGACAATCTTTGTCTCCATGATTAATTGCAGAGTAACAGCATAGTGAACTTAAGAAAATAGTTCATCAACTTTGGAGGTATGATACGGAAAATCAAATGGATCCAATATGTTAAAGATGTATATCAAATTTAATTCTTACAGTGCCAAATGTAAGTAAATTTTTCAACGATATATAATCATAACAAAATTTCTTTAAAAGATAATATATCAACATTTTTGCATTTAAAATGAAATATTTTATTCAACTCATGTCAGTGATTAGGTATAGGAAACATTTTTTTCTTTAAAAAAGAATAGATAGACAACGGTTTCGAACAAAAAACATGTACACGGGAACACTTATTGATGGAAATTCATTTGTCAAATTGTCTTCAGTAGATGTACTTGCCGTACCATATTACAGTTAACATATAACAGTTATATTGAATTAATTTGTCAGAAAAATTTCGCATGGCAACGGAAAGAATCAAACCATCAAGCTCAGGTGGTAATTATGAACAATTCGTTTCAAACACATATTTTTTGTTTATTGCAGGTGTGTTCTTAATTACATTTTGTGTCGTCGTTTTAATAAACTCAGGTAATATTCTCTCCTTATTTTCTGTTATTGCTCAATATCGTATAAATGACACATATTTTATTTAGATAATACACTCATATTAAAGAAAAATAGTAAATAAATGAGTAAAGAATTTACCTTTCCTATTGTAAATTTAGACGTTGAACTATTTGTAAAGTACATATTCTAGGATTTTGTTTTAAATGAACCAGTATCAATTTGCAATTGCTTGATAAAATGAGGTAGAAGGAAAAAAAATATCAGGTAATTTTAATCGACACAATGTATCAGTTAAAGTACAAAAAGATAACCCAATGTTCTTCTTTAAACTGTATATATTTAAAGTTTTATATTTATTTTAAATCCTTACAATAGAACATTGTTTTGTATTGTCTTCGTATATTTCCTATTTTAACATTATAAAGATTTTTTTATATAAAAGAAATAAACAAGATACAAACAGTATAAAAGAATTTTAAAATTTCACTAATTAAAATTAAATCAATATGAATATTCTAAATGATAATGTAGTAGTCATTTGATTTATATAGTAACTTATTCACTGAATTATCTTTTTTATTACAGTTCAATCAGAACACAACAGATACATTCTTCCAGTTCTACCTGAAACACATTACACATTGAATGACGTCATTATTATACCCGAAAGTGCTGACACTGTTGAAATAACAATCACTTATGTGAGTATATCAACAGAGCTTGCAACGTGGAATCTAACAGTTGAACATGAATTTCGTCTTGGACATGTTTTGAGTCTTCAAAATCTATCTGTAGAATCAGGTTAGATATGTATTAATATTGTAAATGAGGTCAAATAACACTTAGTCTTCTTATGTTCTACAGAAATAAATGTTTCTTCATTTTTTTCAAGTTTAATGACATAAGAATAATACATTAGGTTTTTTATTACCTTTTTTTTCAAATAAATTTACATTTATGTTGGTTTAAGCTTTGCCAACGATGACAGGTATTTCATATCGACCACTCTTTATTCCAAACTAATAAAAATAACAATTCAAAATAATAATCTTTAGATTGAAATTTAAATAATTTATTGCGATGACAAATGCACGTCGGTGTCAATTTACCCGTCAAAACATGCGTAAAAAATGTTATATTTAATTGTGAATCACTCTAAGACTTATACATTTACAGGATTGCAATTAACTACCTCATGCAAGACAACTGTAATCATAGATCTACCTGGTGGTTTACTTACACTGCCTCCTTTTGCCGAGAATGGACTCATACATCACATTTTTACAGTATCAGACAATAATGAACGGATATTTCAAAAGCCACTTGTTATTCAATCTGAAATTCCACATACTTTGATCAAATTATGTATTATCATGAACAACATAAAAAATAACACGTCTGAAAAATTGGAACCAAACTTTCAAGACAGGAATAATACAGAAAAATGCTCAAATCTGACAACATCAGCCATTGGTAGATACATTTTAAATGAATCATCAACATTCAATAGAATAAACCATATACCAGGCTTCTTTGGAGTAGAAATCACATCGGAACATCCTATCAGCATTCTACAGGGACATTTAAGACATATGTCTGGTTTAGAAAGGAACAAACACGAAAACAACACCTCGAATTCCCGATACTCACAGACTAAGTGGCGCGTTATAACACCATTATCAAATCGGAGTTCAACCTTTGTTGTTATTCCAAGTACACAAAAACGTGACTATACGTTTTACATACTGTGTAAGAATTATTACATTTAATAAGATTATATGTATTTAAAACCAATGTGACAATAATTATTATGATGTACAGTGTGAATATATGAATCATTGTTCTGCTTGGAACTGTATGTTAATTGTCAATTACAATTATTATAAAATAATATAATTAAGAGCTTTCCAATTACAGTTTGTTTTAAAAACTCTGTATATAAGCAGGAATGAATAAACAGATGTGAATTAATGCAAATGAATTATTAGTTTCCGCACAAAATTTCTAAAATGTTTTTGGTTTACTTTAAAAATATACTATGCCAATCTTTGAGTTCAATATTGTATAAAAAATAATTGAAATCTATGAAACTCTTTTTGAAAATCGGTCTAATTTGAATAACAAAACTGTGCAAACTACGCATGGGAAGCTGCATTTCCAAATTACGGGTCAAGTAAAGTAGATCCTTTAGTGTCTTTGATGACACTATATTCATAACACCTATAGTGTGTCGAGTTTAAAACCAATATTATTTTGAGTGAAGTCAAAACATGTTTATTTGATATTAACATATAGACTTTGCAGCAATTTACAATATTTAAAAATATCAAATGTAAGCATGGCATGTCTTTAAAGGGCTTTATAAAGTTGAAAATTCCTTGTGAATTTCATATAAATCCAATCAGGTATTTCATGTCTTTAATATAATAAACAAATAACACTATTATCATTCCAGGTTCTGTTGACAGCTGGATAGATTTTCAATCTGTCGATGATTTGATAACCATGAATGTGACTGCAAATAAACCGATCAACGCTAGTTTTACTATTTCACCTGATTCAATAATGACTGTCACAATAGAACATGGGTTTTCATTGGATTGTATTAAATCGGATCACTCAACATGTAATGGTGAACTATTACCTGTCAATTCTGGCAGCATGATTCATAATAATCATAGTTTAAACATATACAAGAAACAGGCATCGCACAGGTGGATTTATCTTTCAAATGATGCAAATTTATTTATACTGTTTCCAAATGATACAGACGTCAATGTGGCCTCTATCAATGGAAGTATTTGTACCATAAATGAAGTCCGTTTTAACATAAGTAATATATTCCTCAAATTGATATCCCTGACTCGTTCCCAAAATGGTTTATATACAATTTCATCAAAAAACACAGTGGATACTTATTTTCTTTATTATTTGTCGAACAAAATTTCTACAAACTCCTTTGATAACCGTCAAAATCAAACAAATGAAATTGAAACATCAATTCATTCTGTATTATCAAATAAAGGTTCTGATTTGATCACAAATAATGATTCATCAGCAAGTAATGGGTACTCAACAACTTTGCCAAAGAATCAGACTGCTGACAATTCTGAACAAACTATGCCGCACTTTAGTAAGGTAGACGAGACAACGATAGATAATAGTGCCTCATTCCTGCCGGCAGTAGATAATTTTAAAACAACGTCTTCAGACATTTCTACAGCTCCCGACACGGAAAATACAAAGTTATCTGATGAAAACAAACAATTAACACAAGCTGCTAGTGGCATACCTGGTAGTAATGGAAAGGACAATGTCATAACCGTTCAGAGTGATATAAATGAAACATTTAAGGCTGTGGTTGACATTTTCCATTCAAAGGAAGGTAGAAAAGATATTCTTATCGACAATTCTAAAACGAAGGAAGCTCCAAACTATACGTACAGATTTAACGTGAATAACAATATTGGACAAGTGGGTGATGGTAAAAATCCCGTTGCTATTATTGTCAGCTTGTTATCAGCTATTTTAGCTGTCGGTGCTATAATCCTGATATTTTTGCTCAAAGACTTTTTCTCCCGGAGACAACATATTCGGAAGACACGGATAAGACCGTTTATATCTTATTATTGATGCAACTTTTTCAAAATTGGCATTATTTTTTTTATTTAAATGTATAACTAATTAGTATATTTAGTAGGATAGTCAGTTATCAATATGTTAATAATACTGATTATAAAACATATATATTTGTCTTTAAATGTTAGATTCAGTTAAACACTTCTTATAACCATTTTCATAAAATATTGGAACTAGCTAGCAATGTTTTATCATTATTTTGACTTTATGCAAAGTTCTGATTAAAAGTGAACACACAAAAACTGTTTCTATAGAAAACGAGAAAAAACATCCTAAATAAAAATTATTTTATAAACATATCTAAAATTAACTTTATTATTGGTTAATATAATAGAAGACCGTACTCTTCAAATTCATTTTAAAACATACATTTTTTTAAATCGATGTAATTTTATTGGAAAGCGTATTTAAAAACATGTTGGTTAATCTAGTGCTCTTGTGTTTCATGTAAATAGTTTTACTATCAATCGAGTATTGCAGTTCGAACTACATTCGTTTTGTTTGTTATGTTGTTGTTGTTGTTGTTGTTGTTGTACGCTTAATTATATACTTTAAAATTGGTTAAAATTGCAGCAGTTGTGAGATTTAAAGACATTACACATTTCATTATATATATTATTTGTTAAGCAAGTTGTAGTTTTAACGTATGCAAAAGAAAAGTGCCATACATTTTGTTGGAATAAACAACTTGAAATAAAACTTCAAAAACAGAATATATATTTTGAAAAGAAAAAGATATACAGTACGACGTACTTAATTACAGTACAATTTGGTCCTTTATTTACATGGGTTATATTGAAATAATTAATAAAAGTTTACCAAAAAAATGTAAACGTTTTGGGTCATTATTGGCGATCATCTTGTTTTGCTGACATTATAAGGCAATACGTTCATGTAATGCCGGATTTTGGTTTTCATATTTAACATTTACGCTTCCAACCTTATTATTTTTAAAATAATGCACTGGGAATTCTAAAGACATTAATACATAACAAAACGTAAATTCACGAATGGTTATTATAACAATATTATGTAATTTAATATCTCCCTTAGGCTGGCTATATAAAATTGACATTTTTGATATCTTTATGATATTTGATAACTGTGAACGTTATATAAAACAGAAAATTCCAGGATAGTTTACCATCTAATGATCTGATTAATTAATATCAGCTTACAGTAGATCCATGGGAATTGCTATCTCTTGTTAACAAATATCTTGATGCACATTTATTTATTAAAGGATTAAATATTAAACACTTTGATGAAAGAAAGAATTTGATATTGCGAATGCCTCTCACATTGATATATTGTTCAAAGGAATCGAAAGGATTTTAGGATTGCTAAATGAAGTTTGTTTACGGGGCGGGCAAGCTTTAAATTCAAGAATTTTATTTCAACCATTTTTTTTAATTTTTGCATTAATTGTAAGGCAAATAAGTAAAGAATAAAGAGTGTTAAGAACTTTATATAAAACATTCTTGGTGTTTAAGAATTAACAAAAATCTCTTTATAAAGACATTCGGTGTTTATAAATAACAATGCCTAAGTGACAGCTATACTGTTCACAAGGCTACAATCACTGAGTTCTAGTCTCGGAAACCAGTTTTCTTTGATCGTTCATACAGATTTGCTTAACAAAATGTCATAGTGGTAATAAGTATGTTGAAAATAAAATAAGGACATATGATACTGTGATATGATAAGTGACAAAGTCACTTAAGTTTTACTAATCACATTGATGTTACCAATTATATCTCCTTTCGGAAAATAAATATTTAATGAATCATGGAGTGTCTCATTATTAAACAGCTTTAATTATGGAAATCATTATGAAATTGTGTGTATACTGATAAAATAAAATAAAAACGGGCTTATAATACGCATGAAATTGAGGTTATTTATAATACTCAAATATCAGACAAAAATGCTTGTATATAAAATTTACAGTAATTTAAAATCGCATTTATCATACAGTTATAAAAGCATATTTAGAAATAAGTTAAAATATTCACGTAAGAGGTCAAACGTCATCACAACTAAGAATAAAACTGTCTTTTATATTTCTGCAAAAGCAAAATTATTTATGTTTCAAAATTCAAATTTTTAACATACCTTTTTATAATAAAAAAAACTGTGTCAGTAATTCTGTGTTGTAATATTGTTTCTGGATAACTGTACTGGTTGGAAAGATAACTACGACACATAGATAACCCCCAGACATGATAAATATAATTGTTATCACTCTGTTTTTCAGCAAGCAAGCACATGGTCACCTAGAAATATAGGAGCAGAACAGACTGTAATGACTTTTTTAAGTTATGTTTTTCAATAAAATAAACTTTTCGTAGGCAAAACTGTTTCAAAACGTTCTTTTTAACGAAAGACAATTGTATTGACCACAGGCCACATACTAGAGAATGATTTTTGAAAAATTGTTTAAATATCAACATAAAAAAAACAGGTAAAACATATGAGGCAAAAATAAATTATTGGTGCCTAAATGAAAGAGATATACATCTGCAACAATATTACTTAAAGTATTAAAATATTGTATCAAAATAGAAAAAAAAACAGAATCCTCAAAGAAAGCCCAAAAAGGCAAAATTGACAATGTTGCTGACTCGGTTAGATGGAGCCTGTTCATGGATGGTAATGGAAAATACAAGTCCACGCCCCCAGCACCGGCTTAAGCAGAATATTTAAACAAGAAAATGGTGAAATTTTGAATTTAGAAAATCCGCACGTGTTCATACGGCGGTTACCATGGAACCTTTAATGTGGCACAGTAGTACAATTTCATGAAAATGCACGTGTATTATGCAAACTATAAGTAGGTTTATTTTATCTTTTAATAGCTTTGAAGTGTTTAGATATGGTTTGTTGAGATGAAACTGTGGGAAAGCAAGGTGGACATTAGTCGCAACGCGTTCTCCTGTAGACAAACTGTTATTTGAGTAAAAACAGTGAAAGCTAATGTTTATGACAAACATTTGGACGATGGTGGTCACTAGACAATACTTCATGCAAACACTTTTTTTTATAATAATTACTATATACATGATATACATGGTCCTTATTTCATAGATGTACATTAAAATCAAGACCATATACCACTAGGTCAATATTATGTCACCTGACATCATTATTATATTCTACAACAGAAACTGTGTATATGGTCGTAATGTCATAGCTGTACATCAACTGACAATAAAGGAGGTTACACTCGGTAAAAATCTAGGCCAGCTTATATCAAAGTGCGATTCTACATCTTTACCTGTGCATATGGTCCAAATATAGATATATATAAACAAAAAGGTAACTCACCTAGTTCCCTTGGCCAAATTTAACCATAATGCTTGATTTAAAGGCCCAGTTACCTTCAGAAATTATATCAGTTTTATTTTTCGATATCAGTTTTATTTTTCAAAAGCTTCTTATTTTGTGTGTCCCTTTTTATTGTCCAAATTGTTAGCTATCTTGATATAAGTCTACCAGACAAAGTTTTTTGTCAAATATCTCAGCTCTAGTCTCCTCCGTTTCAGAAAATATGTTTTTAGTTTTTGTTTTTTTTTTAAAAGAATACTCGTGACCCAAAGGACAGGGCTTATTTTGACACAGGGGCTATTATTTGAACATTTTTTGTAGAGGTCCACACTATTTCATGCCAAATATCTAAGCTATAGCCTTTGGAGCTTTAATATTTTTTCATAAGATTTTACTTAATGAACAAAATGAAAATCTATTACACCGGGAGAAGGACCAATTGTAACCCTAAGACTACATTATAAAATACTTGATGGAGGTCCATAACACAATTTACCATGCCAATGATCAAACCCCTAGCATTTGTCATTTCAGTGCAGAAGAATAATTAAGTTTTCAATATGTGTATATAAATATAAGGACAATCAATAACACCCGGGGGAGAGCCAATTTAGACCCCAGGGCAAAAATTCGAACAAACTTGGTAATAGTATCACTACATTTGTAAGTGGCATACATCTGAGGAACACAGAGGAACGTCGCCTTGGAACGGCTAACAGTTGATATGGTTACAAAAGATGAAATAAGAAAGAAAAAAAACAACAAAAAAAACAATGAAATGATCATGTAGATACTAATAAAAAATAAAACCATAGGGCCGGCGAAGCCACGAAGAAAACGATTATAACGACAATTCAGTCCCAATGTGTTTCCAGATTTTAAGAAATATCTATTATAGAGTCTTGCACTTGGTTCGTCAGATGAAATCAAAAGAGGTAATGTTGTGTCCAACAGTGCATGCGATATGTCTTAAAATAGTAGTGTCATAACCTAATAAAAAAGGCATGAGAAAAATTACCATGACACAAGATCTTTCCAAGTTTGAATATCACATCTCCATAGAAATAAGGCTTGCTAGTCGCAAAAGAGTTTTCATATCGACATTGAATTTAGAAATTAAAAACGTACTTACGATTGTTATATAAAGTACAATATTTATCCGTTTTTGATGATACTGTTTGAGAAGTGTGCTAGTAATGAAAATATTCGGTATATATAGTACTTAAAAATGATCTGAAATATGTTTTGATTACATTTTTATACAAGACTAAATACTTAAACTGATGTTTAAAATATTGAACGAAGACAGTGTTATATATACATAAATAATATGAAGCTACTAAAATTACATATAATATATATATATTAAAAAAATGATGTTAACTGTACTACGCGTAATGTAATTTACCTGATTACATGTAAAGGCTGTAATAAGCAAAACGTAGGTCAAACTTATCAAAATGTATCGTGCAGAATGAATAAACATTGATTTGATATAAGAAATTGTGACGTAAATCCAGTTTAACATGTTGCGATTCATTTTATGATCACCCGAAAATAAGTGTTCATTGTCAGATTTTTCATTTTTGCCTATAGAAATTATAGATAGCACCAGGACCTGTTGTGTAAAGAATATTTTTGGATCCATAAATTGAATACTATGATTCCAAGTAGACTAAATAATTAAGTTTTGTTTGATTTATAATGTGTTACATGAATATTAATATGTTTGTCCATTATCTTATTTTTTATTAGCACTGTCTAATAGACATCTGTTTCACTATTGATCCATTTTAATTCATGAACCAGCTTATTTATAACATAAATATTTGTTTCTACATGTTATCATATTTTTGCCGCTAAACGCAATAACGTTTTTCGCGCGTTTAACGCGTGTTCCGTTATGACGTCGATTCCGGTAACTTTATTATGTTTTGCACTGATGCAGGCATATAGCCGAACCGTATGCAATAAAAAATTACCAAATGTTCGTGTTTGTGTGGCTTGTCTGTTTATTTTATTGACATGATA